TGCTGATATACACATTGTTAATTGAGTGAAAGGCATATTGGGCACTTCATATAATATCCACATATTTAATTTAATAATAAGCATGTTAATGAATTGTAACTTCTTATTGAATATCGATGTTTTTCAGAAGATTTGTGTTAGTTTCTGTCTGAATTTCTGAGATGAGGAGTTATTATTATTTACATGCGGATTATTGTTGTTGTTATCAGAAACCTGTTGTGCCCTCCGGTCTTCATCAATTGTATGTCGATATAGGGAATTTTCGAACTGAACCCTTTATTTAAAATACGGGGTTTATTGTTCTTGTTCCATTACTTATGTCTATGGTTATCTCAACTAGTTCTTATTTTAGTACTGTTCAGTTATTGCTTGCTTCGTTTTCTCTGAGTTCAAGTACGCACTGCACGGCCCAGGGATTGAACTCACAATTACTATGTCATCAAATTCACGAACCAACGCCTTAATCAACTAGGTTATTTTCCCTTGGGATAATTGTGTGTGGAGAAAAATACAAGGAAAGACGGTGGCAATGAAAGCCTTACAGTGTGACACTAGTATCGACGTACTACCAACTGAAAAAGTCAAAGCTACAGTAATGATAGACGTATTGGAATACCCCCAAAAACAGTTGGGGATGGTAGCTATGGCAAGGTGAAAAAAAATCTAAGAAACTGACATATATCCTAAAGTAGAACAAGGATTATTTTGTACTGAATAAGTAAAGCCAGCTGACATTGCAACGACCTGACACATATGTATGGCCTCCCCAAGATTAGCATTAAAACCTAGAGTTATATGCAGGAGATAGGTATGCCATCCGATGAGCTGATTTCTGGTGGATAGAGTCATTCCACTATCAGGAATGTCCTCGTCATATGTTAGGAACTCAGAGAACTTTGTGGAATTGATCTGAGGGAATTCCATCCATAGCAATCGGATGGTAAGCTTGGATGTAGTGAGCTTGGCTATGGGTTCACCGTTGACACCAGTGATAGTGATACATGGAATACTCCGAAGAAAATGTCTTTAAGAATGGTACCACCAACATTATGGCTGAGATACGTAGATGAAATCTTCATACTGTGGAAACCTGTACAAATATTGTTGAATCATGTGAACTCAATAATATCTTCGATTAAGTTCACAGTGAAAGAAGAAAATAATAATCATCTAGCCTTCCTGAATGTACTAATAACATGCATGGAGAATGGGTTCAAGACATTCGTATATTTCAAGCCAATATCCTACGAACAATATCTCAACTTAAATTCTTACCATCCATACAATATGAAGAAAGGGATAACCTGAGACCTACAACTGTGCAATAATCAAGTAGCTACCTACGCATATACCAACAAGGAATGATCAACTTCAAGCGTGCCCTTCAGAATGACAACTACACTGCAAGCATAACATGAGCGGCATCAAGTGGAAACAGAAGGGTAACGGAGGAAGACCAAAATCTTCTCACGGTCTGTCTGCCTTACGTCAAGGGCTTATCGGAAAAAAATCTGCTGCCTCTACAACATCAGGACACTATTTAGAAACAGCCTTACTCTACGGAGAAATCTGCCGAGTCAAGCCTAACTCGGGGGAGAACATGACCAAGAACTGTGTTTACTCAATCCCTTGCAGTTGTTTAAAGTGAAACTTGTGACCCTTTAAAAGTAAAGCAGGAGGAACATTGAAAATCCGCAATGAGAAGAGAGCCAATGAAATCAGGCATGGCTGATCATAGCTGAAAACGGTAGCCATCAACCTTTGTAAAGTGAAATGAAAATACTAGACAAGGGAGAACACTGGAGAGGTAGACGGCTGAACGCACAGTGCATAGGAAAAGCTAGAAGGATCTCCTTAGTAACCTAACATAGAAATAATTATGATATAATAAGTAAAGATAAATGACAGAATGTCTTCAGTAATTGCAGCAGCAACTGTAACAAAAGAGAAGCTTCAATGAGTCAAGCATGACAAGTTTAAGGCTCCAACTTTCCACAAACAATAATTCTTAGTGGATTAAATCGTTGGTTCGTGATGATAATTGTGAGTTCAATCCTGTGCCGGGCAGTGTGCATTTGTGCCGAATAGTATTAAATAAGAACTAGACGATATATCCCTATAAAATATCCCTAGACCTGGGCAGTGGAACGAAAACAATCTGCTATAAAGTGTTCTTTCGAAATTCACTATAGGTTACATCTGATGAAAAATAGAAAATTATAAAATAAAGAAACGAATATACCAGAAAGAATTTGGGAAAGAAGAAAATATATAAGATAAAAGAAAGATTAAGAATAAGAACACATATTAACAGAAAGAAAATAAAGAACGGAGAAGAAAAATAATTATAAGAAAAAGAAAAAAAAACGAAGAAAGAATCATGGAAAAAGATACAGACAAAGAAAGAAATGTAGAAGAAAGATGAACAAAAAGGCTATGAAATAAGGATAATTGAAAGAGTGAATAAGAAAGGAAAACGAATTATAGAATTAGGACGAAAGAAAGATGGAAAAGAAAGAAAGAGAGAAGAAAAATGTAGTCCAGACAAATATGTTAAAGAGGAAAGGTATTCATGAAAGAATAACGGAATAAAGATGGAAAAGAAAGGCGGGAAATAAAAAAGAATTACAGAAGAAAGGTGACGGAGAAGAAATAAAAGAAGAAAGATATTAAAGAAAAAAGAACAATAGAATAAATATTTTGAAGAAAAGACAATGTAGCAGAAAGATGGAGAAAAATAAAGCTATAAAAGACAGAGGAAGAAGGTGATAGAATTATATAATTAAGATGGAAAAAGAATCAAATGTCAGAGGAAAATATAGAAAAAGAAGGGTGTATAAAAGTAAGTGGGAGAAAAAGTAAGCGGTGTAAAAAAAAAAACGGAAATAAGACAGAGACAACAAAAGAACAATAGAAGAAAGATGAAGTAGAGGAAAAAATAGAAAACACATGGTGACGGAGAATGCTAGAAAAGACAATAAAAAGAGGACAATCAAACGAACTTCGAAAAGGCAAAGTTGGTTTGATTACATCCCTTAGTTTTGTTAGGACGCCCTGAAAGATGTAAAACGTATATTGTACTTGATTTTTCTAAAAACACATTTGGTTGTTAGGAAGCCTAAACACATAAAATGTTTTCGCTGCAAATTACGTCTCATGAAAACGTTTTAGTATTTGTTCACCAACATTTGAATATTGACCTATTTTATGTAACTGTTTTATGAGATTAGTTTACAGCCATATATACATAATATTTAAAATGGCCTTTGAGGACATGTACATGTCTGAGTTTAGACATATCGCCATTGCTTTCAAGCTGCATATTAATAGCTTTGGAGACAGAGAAGGTTTCACTGCTGAAAAGAGGAAAAAACAGGCGTAATTTATCCTAGGATTTATCATGTGTTTTGAAAGAAACTGATCTCTCAATAACAGCGTTAAATGGTTAGTAAAAAAGGACGCTTTGACATTTCAGAGAATCATCTCGCTTTTCATTTCATCTCGCTTCAATGGGATCATATTTGATCCGAAATAAAAGTGGATCAGATCTGTCTCTCTTGGAATATTTAAGGGTAGATTCATGTTAAAAAAGAAACAAAAAATACTAGCGTATGCGCTAATACCAGTTTTGTTTTATTTTCAAATGAGTTGAGATTTCTGTGACTCTTTCAAATGTAATACAGAATGAGGGGAAATACTTTTGAGTTAGATAAAATTTAAACTTGATCGCTTCCGCTGTCTTATATAAAAATTCTGCTTCGCATCAGTCAGTAGCAAAGTTGAGAAGGGGATCCCTTAAATAATCTTCTTGTCTCTCTTAACACGATTTTCTTTTATCATAAATCAGTGGCGTCGAAAGATTTAATTAATTTTATTGTAGTGAGAATTTGCCTAATTTGTGAATTCCTTAAAACTACAAATAGGTTATGGGAATATCAAAGCTTATGTTTATTACTCTTTTTTTTTTTCATCTTGTTACCTCTTCAGTATTTACGAAAATTCCTACTTAGAAAAAAATGATAAAAGCAAAAAGTTAACATCTGTTCCGTATTTGTTGCTATGATAAAATGTCTGTTTTTAGATAACGACTTTATAGTGAACATTTGATAATAGCAATTTCCAATGATCACCTACGTATGTTAGGAAATCGAAGAATCATTGTGTGTGTGTAAATTTATGCGTGTGCGTACGCGCGTCTGTGTGATAAAAATGTCGTGTGTGTGAATGTGTGTGTGTGCGCGCGCGCGTATGTGTGTGTGTGTGGTGCGTTGGTGAGCAACTCGAAACGAGAAATCTGCGATTCGTGTTTAGATTTACTTCCGCGCAAATACACTTGGGAAAGCCACGAATCCATCGCTTCACTCCCCCAGTTATGAATTAAATAGTAAAACAACTTTTGTTGGCAACCAGTGTAAGAGGGGGACAACTCTGAATCCAAAACTTGAAGAGAGCTGTTTGGGGATCTCGTGGCGGACTATGTGTAGTAGTTCTCTGTACTTTATTCTCTCGGAAAGTGTGGATGGTTCTGCACAAGCTTTCACCACAATAATTAAATCATGTGTATCTGGTAGTCTCCTTGTTCAGTTCTAGGAACTGAATTGTTGGACCCTCTAATGTCAAAGAGGATGGGAGAGTCCATCATATATATGTACACGCTATATAAACTATTAATTATACAAATGAAATAAAATTCAGGCCAACGTTGATTTTTTTAATACAATGCTCAATGTATTTTCAGGCAGCATCACATATATTAATAAAATAAAAAATATTATATACACTACCCACACATGCAAACACACACATACACATCTATCTATCTATCTATCTATCTATATATATATATATATATATATATATATATATATATATATATATATATTTGCATGCATATACTGAAACAAAAGCTACATTTCCCCACCAATAAAGCCTCCATCAAAAGGTTCCAGGTGTGGAGGAGCAGCTTTGTAAGTAACTAAATAAGTCAAAACACATTTTAC